CAGAGATGCCAAACAAACAGACCTCTGCCCAAATCAGATTTAAGTGTAATTGGTATATATTTAACAAAATAAACAAAAATACATTAGAATATAGATAATATTAATATGTAATTTTCTAAGTCAATATGAGAAGTCCACAAGGATCCTCCTTTTTTTCATGTTTCTATTTTATTCTGACACCACTGACCTAAAGGATCACCTTTCTTCCAGGTGAATTGCCAAGGACAATTTCAAATCCCTCATAGCATTAAAAAGCAAAGCACCTCCCAATAATTCCAAACCCAATTAAGGAAGGAATTGTTTGAACCATCACTGGGTAAAGGAACTTGAACTTCTTTCTTGGGTTGTATAAAAAACCTTCTGAGTGGGCAAAAACTTTAATAGGTTGGCAACTTTATCCACAAGAGACGGAATAAGGAAGGATGGACTGGTGTCACAGGCCAGGACCAACCAGGATGGCTATGTACTTGCTTTGTAACTGGAATGAAATGAGACACTTATAAGTCTGTTCCCAAAGTTGGGGGATACTGCTCCCTGGGGGGGTGCTGGAACACAATGGGGGTGGGTATAGGGGGCAGTAGTAGCCTCAGGTGCAATTGGGGGGTGTTGAATAAAAATAAGGGGGCAGTGGAAGCATTAGGAAAGATAAGACAATTTTGAAAAATGGTTTGTATATGTTTCATCTGTTGTGTAACAGAGTTAAGGTTGTAGTGATTACATTATTTTCCAAATAAACACACAAAATACAAGGTATAACTGATCAAGTCCACCAACAGGTCTTAACAAGTAAGTGTTGGCAAGTGAACATTGTTGGGAAGTCCTGCATGCCTCAGCAGGAATATGTGCTTGTTTATGATTCTATACTATGTGGTTACATGACGTAATATTGCGTCATCAAAATTTCAATACTGGAAAAAACCCCACAAATTTGCAATAAATTATTAAATTTAAGATGCATCATTTTAAAATATATTTTATATTTTTTGAAATGATGCAAATTAAAAAAAAATGGTTAAAGAAAGATTTCCAGGGGGGTGCTGAGTAATTTTCTTTTTGAAAAGGGAATGGTAGGCCAAATAAGTTTGGGAACCTCTGATCTAAAAAAAGGTTCACTTAGCCATAGCAGGGGAAGGACATTCAGGTCAGGGAAGGGATATAGGTGATTTTGTTGGGTGAAGCTTTCCTGGGCCATTACTGATCATGTTACTGGTCTGTAGTTCAAGTACTGAGGGAAGAGACCCAACTCCTCAAGTCCTGGCTGTTTTTGTAATCAAGTGACCAGGAAGCTCTGTTAAAGGTCCTCCATGTACTCTATAGCTCTGCCATACTGGTCACCTTGGTTTTCCTCCCATATAACCCTCTATTTCCAGTCTATGCACCACACAACTGCCAAAGTGCTCTAGCACACTCTCTATCTAATGCCAACCCCCGATCAAAAAGCTCTCCCCTTTAGGATAAGTTACCAACCTCTCTATTAGGCATTTGTAGCACTTCATAACCTGCCTCCTGCCTTTCCACACTTACAATGTACACTTTATATTCAGCTAAACTGGTCTACTCGCTGTTCCTCCTACACTACATTCCAACTCTCACCATCCTTGCCTTTGTATTATACTTGTACCCATGCCTTCAATGCTCTACCTGCTCATCTCCACCTTTTAGATTCCTCTGAAGCATTCCTTCAGGCTTCAGCTCTAATGCCACCTTCTGCAGCAAGGCTTCTCCTCTTAAGAGTATCTTCTGTCTACTTTGTGTGTATCTTAGAGATATCTATTTATATACAGGTTTGTCTTTCTTATTAGAAGGGAAGCTCCTTGAGAATAGGGGCTGTTTTTCCTTTTTCTTCATATCCCCAGTGCTTAGTGTAGTGCCTGGCACAGATTCAACACTCAATGAAGGCTTGTTTATTGACTGATAAGTGCTGCTATAAATATTTTTATATATTAGGGACCTTTGCTTCTATTATCAAAACTCTACCAACAGTTCAATTAGTGTGCCTAGAGAGGCATACTCCTTCTCTCCCATATTCTCATACTCCCTCATATACATATACATATTATATATATATGTATATGTATGTATGTATGTATATATATATATATATTCTGATGCTGTTCTCTGTATTCATTAATTTGATAGGAGGCAGGGAATTTATGGAAGACTTTATACAGATAGGGTATATAAAGGATTTTGCTTGGTCCCAACTATAGTAGTGACCACAGTCTAATCCTGACCACTGGAACTACATATGCTCTGCCAGGTCACCACATGAATCTATCAAGCCAACATGCAATGACTCTCTAGGCTGCACACCTAGAAGTGATCTGAGTAAAAAGGACTACCCTAATTAGGCTTTTTTTTTTTTTGGCTTTTAGGCAATTGGGGTTAAGTGACTTGCCCAAGGTCACACAGCTAGTGTCAAGTGTTGGGTCTGAGGCCGCATTTGAACTCAGGTCCTCCTGACTTCAGGGCCGGTGTTCTATCCACTGTGCCACCTAGCTGCCCCTCTAATTAGGCTCTTTGAAGCCTACATTTAGATCAATCCAGTGATTGCACAAGGTTCCCCTAGGGGCAGCCATTTTTCAGCAGTCTTCAGTGGGGCTTCCACCTGCTGCTGGAAGACAGCATATTCAATAAAATGCTGCCATGTTATGGATCTCCCTGTCCTGGTCCTCTCAAGCTCTCCCTTATCTACTTTCACTCTTAAAATTTCAATTACCATCTAGATATGAATGACTCTGTAATTTTCATATCTAATACTAACCTTTACTTTCCCTCCAGTCACGGGTTTCTTGTTGTCTGAGACATCTCCTCTTTTAAAGGGCATTTCCGTCGTTTTTATCGGTACATTTTGTCTCTAGTTCATATTTATTTCCAAAGGTGTTCCTGCCCCTTCCTTGCACAATGAGTCAACCCTTGTAACAAAGATTTAAAAGGAGAAAAAAGCAGTTCAGCAAAACTAACAGACACTAGGACTGATGGTCTACTCTCCCACTTTGATATTTGCACATCTGTCTAATGAAGATGAGGTGCATTTTTTTCAGCTCTTCTCTGAGGCTCTTTGTCAATTACCAATGAACATAGTGTTCATCCCACGTATGTTGAAGTCACTGTGTATACTGTCTTCCTGATTCTGATTATTTCCTTCTGTATCAGTTCATTTAAGTCTCTCCGTGTTTCTCTAAATTCTTCATATTCATCACTTCTTATAACATATGGCCACTGACAACATAGCTTAAGCCACCTCCTTACTGGTCTTGCTGCTTCTTCCTACTCTATCTATGCTACACACAGCAGCAAGAATCATTTCCTAACATTACTTTCATCAGTTTCTCCTACTACTCAAAGGTTTGCATTAGCTTTCTAATATTCCTTGCATAAATTTCAAATTCCTTACCAGAACTTACTATTAAGGCCTTAACATATATTCTCCCTACCCCACAAATAAATCTCTCGGTTCGATCTCTTCTTTCAAATAAATGTCTCCCTTCTTCTCCCCCAACGTGTGCCTCACTCTTCCTGCTTCCACGTTCTCAATTTCTGCCAATCTTCCCAAGTGGGATTCTTGTTTCGAGAACAGGACCCTCGCTATTCTCACAATTCAGTGCCGGACAGACTACCTTTCAACTACTCTCTCCATATCTTGTATATATATATATATATATATATATATATATATATATATATATATATATATATATATATATATATAGTTGTTTCTACATTGTCTCCTCATTAGAATGTGAGCTCTTTGAGATCAGGGACCATACATTTGTCTTCCCTTGTATCCCCAGCACTTATCCCAGTACCTGGCATTCAGCAAGCACTTAATAAATGCTTGTTGACTGAAATTAAGACTTAGAGCTGGAAGGAATCTTAAAGGGCTAGCGTGACTCCTTCATTTATTTACAAAAAGTTTCACTGATGTCTTTTTTTACATCATGGTCATTTCCGGATACACACCCTGTTCCACTTAGGAAGCCTTTCCAAGTTATAAAGAAAAACAGTTAAATAAAACCAACTGGGTAAGTGACCCAGTCTGATAGTATACGTATGCATCATTCTGCAGTCTCCCTGCTTCTCCGAGAAAAGGAAGGAAGTATACTTCCTCTTTTCTTCTCTGAGGTTGAACGGTCATTCTAAATACACAGTGTATGGCTTCAAGTTAGTGGTCTTTTCTTTTATATTACTGGATATGGAGTTTTTTGGGATCTACTTATTTCAGTCTCCATGTCCATACCAATCTTCTCATGTTCCTCATGTTTTATAGTTGTCATTTCTTAGCGTACAATAATTCTGTGCATAACATTTGTTTGACCATTCCCTAACTGATGGACACCCGCTTTTTTTTTTTTACAGGTTTTAGCAACCACAAAAAAAATGCAACTATGAATACTTTAGTAAATATGGGGTCTTTCTTTTCATCTTTGACCTCCTTGGTGTACATATCCAATGGTGGAATCTCTAGGTCAAATGTAATTTCAAGCCCCTCATTTAATAGATAAGGAAACTACATGTCTGGAGAGATGAAATAACATACCCAAGATTACCTGGGTAATAACTGGCAGAAGCAAATTATTCAAAGGCCATTATACCATGGTTATCTATCCTTTCCACCACCCAAACTCCTTGAGACCCAGCTCCTCCAGGAAGGCTTTCTCATCTGAAAACCTCTGGCTCTGGTCATCCTAATCCTTGCTATTTTACATCTATATTTCTGTCTAACTGTTAAATCTGCATTTATGTACATACTTTGCTTTTACACATACTTTAGACTCTCATACGTACATGTTTTGGAAGTGACCATTAGACCGTAAGAAAGCATAACTGATCATGGCTAACCTTTCTCTGTAACTCACAGATACACTGTTCTGGACTAAGTCAACCTTATTGATATTCTCTAGCTGAGTCCTCCCCAGGAGAAAGCTGGGTATTCTCTTGGATATCCCAGGATCTCTCTTCACTCTTACCCATTAAAAAAATCCACCTCACAAAACAAGCAAAATACATTATTTTTACTGATTTACATGTTGATTTTGTAACCTATGTTTATTGGTCCTGTCTGGGCATACACATCCAACTGCATTTGTGTGGCTTACTCTAAGTCTTTGCATTTTTTAGACCTGCCCTTTTCGACAGAGATAAGATGGCTTTTCCATAATCCTTTATTTTACCCAGGTCAGTAAGTTCTCCTTCCAGATTATGTGGTTTTAGCATAATACCTAGGAATATAATGTGAAAACAGCTAGTCTTTTTCCAGTCCAGAGGAACACCCTCTCCCCCTCAAGAAACTAGACCAAAGACAAATATGATCAATTCATTTTAGGGTTGGCCAGGTTCCAGCTCATCGTCCTAAGAAGAAACCCCTGAAACAGCCTCTGCATCATCTCCAAACTTACAATGGACATCTCTGTATTCTACATCAGAAATCCCACGGCTTTACTGAGCTGTCCCCAAGCAATAGGGAACAAGTACCATTTATCTTGACCATTCATCCAATAATTTCTATTGGGTTTTGATGCTACCTTGTTAACAGTCAAGGAGAGGATGAATGCAGAAATCTCCATGGCCAGGTCACTATTCTTTTCGTTTCTCTCAATCTGCTTCTCCATCCCTCTCATCTTGTTGCTTCAACGTTATCAATCTACTCTGTTCATTATGTTTCATCTTGGTTACAGGGATGACATAGGCTCTGATGGCTGGTTTGCCCTGAAGAGCAAGAGACTTCGGTCCCAGCTAGTGCTGCCAAAGGAGCACACCAGCTCCATGCCACAGTCATTGGTAAGAATCTGAATGACACAGTTAGCCATGTCACCACGAATGGCAAGAGAACGAAAGTGGTCAAAATCATGGCGGCCTAGCTTTCGAAGGCGCCTGGCAGCCGCCCGGTAACACTTCCAAGGCTGTGGTTCAACCAGGAGGTAGCGGGAGCGAGAGGCAAGATGGGCCAGGAATGCAAGTAGGCCATTGTCCCCATGGTTCAGATGGATCCACATGGTGATGGACATACAGAAGACTATATCAAAGGCTGAGCGGCCAAACTGGTTCAGGAAGGAACTCAAAAGGGGCTCCCGGGTCTGGGGATCCATGATGTCCAAGGTAACAAAGGACATAGTTGCAGGGAAGGGGCAGTCCTTCTCAGCTCGATCCACCAGGACAGGGTCAATGTCACAGCAAAGGAAGCGGAGGTCTTTAGTGGAAAGCGGACAGATCTCTCCCTCTTCAAGCGAGAGGAAGTGTCTGTATAGAGCAATACTCAGCTCCTGTGGAAATCCAAAAGAGCACTGTCATTTTTCAGCCTCTCCTTAGTGAGTGGTTAGTGAAGAAAACAGCTCCCCCTTCCCTAGAGCACATCAACCTTGCCACCACTGCATTTCATTCAAAAGGAGAATAAGATTTGTAGCCCCAGAAGGCAGAATTAGGAGCAATAGGTGAAAGCTGCAGACAGGCTGATTTTGGCTCAAAGTAAGGAAAGAATTCCTAACAATGTAGAGCTATCCCAAAGCACAAAGAACTGTCTCAAAAAGTCTGGTATTCTCTTTCACTAGAGGTCTTCTAGTGAAGGCTGGATGACCATTCCTTCAGGATGTATGAGATTGGGTTAGATAGCCCCGTGAACTCTGAGATTCTGTGAAATGATTCTGGTATTAATTTATCAGATCTTGGGGTATTACTAAAGTACTTTCCACACTTGCAAATAAGAAGTTGACTTGGTTCAGCAAGCAACAGATACTTCAGCTGCGATTTACTGGTTTACTCTTTGAACTAACCTAAGCTACAACCTGAGAACAGGCATCCTGCACAGAGTAGACTTTTCTGTTTACGTTCTCGGTGCCCTCCAGTGGACACACAATGTCATGAACTGTCTGTAATTTCTGAGACTGGAGGGTTAGGTTCTTTAGGGAAAGGCTCCACCCAAGGAGCTGAGTGAGACATCTTCTAGGAAGACACTAAAAATAGTAATTCATGTTTATGTAATGCTTAAAGTTTACAAAACATTTTCCTCACAACAATCCGAGGAGGTAGATACTACACTATAGTTGTTGTTCAGTCACGTCTGACTCTTCGTGACCCCATTTGGGGTTTTCTTGGCAAAGATACTGGAATGGTTTGCCATTTCCTGCTGCAGCTCATTTTACAGATGAGGAAACTGAAGCAAACAGGATTAAGAGACTTGCTCAGGGTCACACTGCTCTTAACTGTCTGAGGCCAGACTTTAACTCAGTTCCTCCTCTAGGCCCAGCACTCTATCCTACCTGCCTCAAACATTATTACTCTCATCTTAACTGATGAGGAAACAGGCTCAGAAAAGTTAAATGATTCCTCAGTATTATGCAGGCAGTAAAAGTCAAGTCTGGGACTTTTCTACTACATTTTCTACTACTCCTCACTGCCTCAGAGGAGTGTGGCTCCTCATGCAATGCTAGAACGGGAAGGACCTTGGAGCTGACCTCATCCAACCCCCTAATTCCACAGATGAAGGTACTAACATCCAGAGGAGTGAATGACATGCCAAAAGTTACACAAACAGTAAACAGCAAAGCCAGAATTCAAACCCAGGTCCTCTAATGAGGACAAATACTATATTCTTTCCACAGCTCCACTGTGATCATCTACATTTATTCCATCATTTCATTAAAATTAGCTTTCACCTCTTTCCTATGAAATCCAACAATTGGTGGGTTTTAGACATCTTAGTGTGTCTCTGAAGCCTTGGGAACACAGTCCAGGACACACATACTGATACACTGGGTCTATTCATCTCCATTGGCTATCTTCCCCATTAGATCACTGTCATTCACTTTTTAAATTAATAGCACTACTCAACCCTGCAGACCACCACCTTGGGCTCAATTTTTTTACTCCTGGCTTCTTAGACTCCACATGGGGGACAACATGAGGTAAGTAGGAAGAACTGATCTTGCAGTTGGAGAGTCTTGGGTACAAGTTCCAATTCTGTCATTTACTAGCTTTGTGGCTTAGCCATGTCTTTTCATCTCTCAGGGACTCAATTTCCTCATCTGTAAGGTAGGGATAATAACACTTGTACTACCTACCTCCAAAAGTTATTAGGATTAAACTAGAGAATGTATATAAAAATGCTTTGTAACCATAATGCACTCCAGGATTATCATTATGGCCAATTAATTGAAGTGCTGATATGTATGGGGTTACAAGTGTTCTCTAACTCTCCCCTCAAATACTCTCACACCTAGTCCTCTCCCCTCCAGAACCCTACATCCTAATGATCAACCTAATGACAATATGTCCAATGCACCATTTCTCAAATCTCTTCATTTCCAGTTAATCCACTGGTCCATAGCAACAAGGTCCCTATCTTCTACTCCAGGTGTCAAATATCATGGGCCCCTTGAGAGCCAGATTAAAATGTAATTTGGGAAATACTTCACAAAATAAATAAAAATACAGTAAAATGTAGATAACATTACATTTTAAAACTCAGTCAATCTGTGGCCTTCAGGGATCCTTGTGTACAGATTAGTGGACTCCTGTTTCTGTTTGAGCTTGACACCAATGTTCAATTCCATACCACACTCTGTTCTGAACCTTGGGCTTCTCAAATACAAACCCTTTAGCCTATGTCCCAAGACTTTCCCAACAGTGCCTTCCTGTCTCACTGTACTCTGGTTCAACCTCACCGTTTCCCAAAATTTGCCTTTGTGCTTTCATGCATATCATTCTTCCTGCATAGAATTCATTCTCCCCTCCTGGGGATCCCACCCTACTACAAGTTTTATTTCTCTTGTTTTCAAAAGAGAAAGGAAGGTTCATTTTTCTCTTCAAGGTCAAGCACTTTGGAGTATGTGTTGAGATAAGGAAGTGGGAGGAGGAAATGACTTTTTGGGAATGTATATCGCAGCATTGGTTCCACTACAATTTTTCCAGTGGTAGCAGTAAAAAGGTTTTTAAAAGGGTCATGAACGTATTAGAGGTATGATTAGAATAAAATTATACCCACTTCAGGGCAGCTAAGTAGCACAGTGGATGGAGTACCAGGCTTGGGAGTCAGGAAGACTTATCTTCATGAGTTCAAATCAGGCCTCACTCTTATTAGCTGGGTGACTCTGGGCAAGTCACTTAACTGTGTTTACCTCAGTTTTCTCATCTGCAAAATGAGCTGGAGGAGGAAATGGCAAACCACTCTAGTATTTTTGCCAAGAAAACCCCAAATGGGGTCATGGAGAGTTGGACATGACTGAAATGACTCAAACAACAAATACCCACTTCGAGGATTCCCTAGCAAAATTCACAACCACTCAAGAGTTTGGCCTAACAATACAATATTCTTTACCCAAGTGGATGATATAGCTGGATGGGCAATCAGTCCAATGAAACAGTTCATCAATTCACATATCTTGGACAGACACTGCAGAAAGGCAACTAACTGGGCCCAGAATTGAATAGGAGGAAGAGAACAGGTGAATAGGATGGACTGCATTTGGGAAATTATACATCAATGCCAACGATCTTAAGCTGCTCCCCTGAAACAACAACAACAAGTTATCTTGTTAACGTTAGTATTCTACGAATAACTGAAAATCATGGAATACCACGGCCACTTTAGAATCAAAATTTAAGTGATCCAAAGGACTATGAAAACATAGGAGGTGGGAAAGCTGCAGTATCTTTCCAAGCAAGAAGTTCCATAAAAGATATCAACCAAAAAAGCATGACCAGAAAAGAATGTGGGCCAGTCACAGTGGGATAAACTGCCACACTGATCCCAATAGCACAGAGGGAAGAATTACTCTATAGAGGATTGAACAGAAGACACAAGAATCCAACAGGAACAGAAGGCAAGGACAGGTCATCTCATGGCACTACTGGAGACAGTAAATACATCCATTGCACGAAGCTGGGTCTCAGACTGCTGTCTGATGAATTTACAAGTGAAATTTGGACACCCCTCATCCCACAGTGCTGCTACTCCTCACAAATTCACTCCTCCTCACCTTAGCTTGGTACTATTCTAATACAACATCATGCCAGCAAATCACTTCAGCTAGGCCTTGTGCTCCCCAGCTTTCAGCAAAGGCCATGCTTAAGGACACGAACTGTACAAAAATCCCATTATTATACCTAGGATTCCTTCCTGGCAATAAAAACACCTATACAATTGCCTGTTGATGAGCAGGGAAGGTGGATTCTCCTCACTCCAGTTCATCCTCCACTAAGCTGTCAAAATGATCTTAAAGCAGGGGTATGACCACGTCACTCCCTTCGCCCCCTCTTCAATAAACTCCGGTGGCTCCCTGTCGCCTTAAGGATGAAATATAAAATCCTCTGACTTTCAAAGCCCTTCCTACCTTTCCTGTCTTCTTACACCTTACTCCCCTCCTCCTCGTCTGTTCTAGTGGCAATGCCTTCCTTACTGTTGCTCAAACAGCAGACACCATCCCCTCACTTCTAATTTTCAGTGGCGATCCCCACATCTGGGACTCTCTCCCTTCTCATCTCCCGATAATGGTGGAGCTGGAAAAACCAGCCTAAGATGCATACTAGTTGTGTTGTGCCACCTTGGGCAAGTCACTTAACCTGTTTGCCTCAATTGCCTCAACTGTAAATGAGGATAACAATTGCACCTACTTCCCACTCAATCAATAAGCATTTAAAGTGCGCCTACTACGTACCAGGCACTGTGCCAAATGTTGGGGGATACAGAGGCAAAACACAGTCCCCGCTCTGGAAGAGCTCACAGCCTCTGCGTTTGTAAGTGCCTAGCACATAGGACGTTTTTAAATACTTGTTGACTTGTCTCCAAGGGATTAGTAAGGAAAAAGATCTCAGGAAGGGACTGGTCATACAAACGGCTGAGAGAGCGGACCCCTTAAATGACCACGACACGTGGCCCCGGCAACGCCTTCAGGCAGCTTTTCCTCCCCCAGTCCAGGGAAGGGGCCCGAGCATGCGCAGAGCTCTCCAGTTACTCACCCCGGAGTTACAGCCCACATCGAGCGCCAGCAGCGGCCGAGGATCGGGGCCTCCCGGGGGAAACAGCCGCCGCAGCAGTGCCGCGGGCAGGAGGCGAAGCCGCTGCTCGGGAGGGTGGAAGCGGGAGTAACTGGGGAAGTTTCCGTACGGGGCGGCTCCGGGCTCCAAGAACCTTGGTTTGGGTGTCCCCGCCTCCTCATCGGTGGCGGCCTCCGCCACCGGCAAGATGGGCGCCGCCATTGGCTTGAGTCCACAACGGTTGGATCCCCGGGAAACCGGAAAGCGTGGAACTGTTGGACCAGGGCACTTTAGTTCCGGGCTGCGCAAGCGTATATTCTTGTGCGTGCCCTCCTTCCAGCTAAAGCTAGAGCGATTGCATAATGGAAACAAAGTGGTTTCTTCCTGGTCTGCTTTATCCTTAATTCGAATGCTAGTGACCTTTACCGCAAGCCCACCATCTACTCCTTCACAAATTACTAACAGGAATAGAATGAATGAGTGAATGAATGAATTGTTTTGGTGTGTGCCTCTCCTGACCCATTATTTCAGGAAGGCTTCAGCCATGCGTGTTTATATAGTCACTATTCCTCGGTCTCATTGGAACTCTGGTAGGAAAAAATACGGTGGGAACCATAGTTCTTTTGGAAGGAAGTGGTCTGGGTGAATGAACGGAGTTACACTTAAAATACTCTAATGGATTTATAGTCTCATCAGTTTGGGAATTCCAGCACCATGCTTGGAATGGGGAAGACTCATCTTCTGAGTTCAAATCTGGCCTCAGACACTTAAGCTGTGTCACTTAAGTCACTTAACCTTGTTTGCCTCAGTACCTCATCTGAAAAATGAACTGGATAAGGAAATGGCAAACCACTCTAGTATCTCTGCCCAGAAAATGGGGTCACAAGCACACCGAAAGGTGGCCCAAGTGGGGTCACAGACACATTGAAACGACTTAATGACAACTTATCCATACTTGAGAATCCTGTGCAATAATAATAGCAAAGATTTATAGAGTGCCTTAAGATTCTCGAAACACTTTACATATATTATTAGAGCCTCAAAACAATCATATTAGGTATATATAATTATTATCTCCATTTTACAGAGGAGGGAATCTGAGGTTGAAGTGGTTGAGTTGACCAGGGTCATGTAGATCATAAAAAGTGTTCAAGTCAGGGCTATTCTAATTACGACACTCTTACCACACAACTCTTGCCACATGTCCTTCCATAAGTTCATCACAGAGGGTCCACCCAGTGTTCTGGAGACCTTCTTTAATAGTTCCTGACATTTCTAGCATATCAGTGAAGCTTTCCGGCAGTCCACTCGTTATTTCTTGCCCTCCCTACATGACTATATTTCATCTTAGTCTGATGACATTTATTATTCTTGTTCTTATTCATTAATTCTGTATTGCAGCTTGCACACACCCACTATCATTCCGTAGTGTCTCTATATAATAATTTTTAATTCTTCAGAGACTGGTTGTATTCCTTGTCTTCCTGCCAATGAGGAACCCCTGTAGAATATTGGTATTTAAAATACAGGCCTTTGTTTCCAAAGGAAGCTTGGAATCATTAAAAGAGAGTTTTGTGATTTTCCAAGGGCAATCCTGCCTGCCCTCCTTCACTTGGAATTATGTCCAACTATAGGAACAACTCATTGTCCATCTGTATTGTCATGGACATACGGACTGATGGGCAAGCTCTGTAGGTTTTATCCAAATGTGTGTCACAAACTTTCCTGAGTGGTTACAGGAACTTACCAACCACATAGAAACTCTTTTCATCATGGAATTTGTTCCAGATCTTCATCACAATAGTAGACAACTTTGGTGAGTACCACATGACATATGGAATGGTCTCTGGTGCTCCAAAATGGAACAAGATAAATAGGTTACAGTAGGGCCTACAGAAAAAGTGGAGTATAAATCCTTCACAGTGTCATACCTGGGGTCTCATACCCCATAGGGTCTCATACCCCTGGGGTCTCATACCTCATACATAGGCTGTGAGGTACCTTCACTCATTCTTTGGGTTTAACTCATTCCTTCAATGTGCTTGCATACTATCAGGTCTACATTCCCAGAAATCCACCAGCACCAGCACCACCATCACCACTACTACCATGTTATATTCAAACTCTCTGTTAAAGAAAATATGCTTCTCCTATTAATTCCTTTAGCTCTTGAGTGCCTATCCAATGGTTTTTGATCTATATAATCAGCTCACAAGGCAATACATACAAAGTGTGATATTTACGTAACTAGCCATCTGAAGTAATTAAACATAACCATTTACTTAGTTAAATGAGAGATAGATTAAAGCAAATGCATGAACAGTGAAATACATCACAATGCATATAAACCCAGCTCAATGCTCTTCTACCAATGCACAGTAGCTATGGTGAAGTAGATGCATGTTATTAGGATAACTCATTCTAGATTACATGCTGACACATTATCAGTCCATCCCTGATCATTTGCACCACACTGAAAGTACATCTGTGCTCACTGCTTGACTGTTGATCCATAGGCCTGACACAGAAATGCTTATTGATTTGATCCTCACCACTATTATGCAGTTGAAGAAATCCTTTTCTCTGCTGGAATAAAACATTAGCTCCTAATATGAATAGCAGGTCTCTTTAAGCCAGACAACTGCCAAGCTCATCCAACCAGCTATCTCTGGAGGTATACAGACCAGGCCAATCAGTTCCTCATTCACCTGCTGCCTAATGATAATGGAACTCACAGCAACACAATTCAGGTTGAAGCCAGCTCACCCGGGTGCCACAGAAATTCCCAAACCCTCTCCCTTTTCTTTATGCCAGGGGTGCTAATAGATAAGAAGCCCTTCTGGAAAGCTTTACCTTTTTTTTACCTGTGGGTGGTGCTAAAGAGCAACAGTCAACGGTGGAACTCCTGAAATCAGAGCTCCTCTCTCTGACCAATCAGGAACTGCTCATTCTGAAGCCATCTTTCTGGTAACTGGTGCACACAGCCACAGTTCTTAGAGCAGCTTTTTATCACCCGCTGTTCTATTTTCACATCTCCTTAGGTTTCTTTATTTCCTTTGCTGTAATCTCTTTCCTTCTGCTTAGTGGCTCAAATGAGAGCCTCCTGAGTCTCAGTGACTCAGTTTTTTACTTAAAAAGTCACAACTCCCCAGTTTTCTCCTGTCAAGTCGATAGTCCCTTTAAAATTACACCTCAATCTCCAAATATTTATAGGATTTTTTTTTAATTTTACCCTCGTTAGTCATAAAACATCTATATGCAAATTAGACCACATATCCCACAGAACCCCCTGTTCTCTGAAGTTCTCAGCTTGTTCTATCTCTCTGATGACTTTGAAACTGTGTCTTTACATGTGCATTGCTCAGATTTTCAACAAAATATCATTCACTGCCTCATTATGGCATTAATTTTTTTTACCCCATGCAAGGGAGACAGCTTGTTGACTACAAATTCAGATGATTTTCTCTCCCAAAGTGTGCAAATCCTGTCTGAAAGCGGTTTCTTCATATGCTTATTTTCATATGTACATTATACATATTAAATATTACAAATTTACATATTAAATACATATGTATTAAAATCACCTATATTCAAATACATATTAAAATAGAGTTCTTTTTCCACTAACATCAAAATGTTCATGCATAACCGTGGCAATATCCTACACCCTCTGACAATATAAATTTTATCATTTATACAAAAATATTTTTTCCTGCCTTTTTCATCATTCATGACAAATGATCATTCATTCCTTATGAAAAGGGCCTTAAAGACAGGATACCTTGTAGGAGTACGCATGTCCCCGTTTTATCCCTCTCTTGGTGTTAATGATCAGAGGATGACAAAATCATTGGATGAGGGTTATTTCTGTGTCTATGTTTTTCAAAGAATCTTAAATTATTTTTACATATGGATAGGAGACACCTTTTTTGGAAATGAGCCTTTGAAGAGGTCTTTTACTCTAGTGAATCAAATTATTATTCACAATTAACAAATAGTAAACACAAGGAGATCTTGTATTCTTTCTATCTTTCAGTCAAATGTAAAATGGTAAAGTTGTGGTCCATTGTTGGATAGTATTCATGAAAGCCTCCTTGTTCTGCACTAACGTTTTCATTGAGGGTGTCCTCAATGTATGTATAAACTCACTTAAAGATTTCATATGGGTGGGAGAGTAGTCATGTATTAGTTGTAGGTAGTTGCTGATGTTTTCTCAGTCACTTTTTTGTGACTCTTAATAAGTAAGGCCAGAGATTCCCCTCCCCACTTCTTTAGATACTTTAAATATTGAAATTTTTACTTCTCTCACAATTGTGTCTCCTCCAGCAGAGATATCTTCTATATTCACTTAGTACAGTCCAACTGCTTTTGCCATCTTTATTCCCCTCTGATACTGATCCTTGCTATGGGCAGGGGAATAAAGCTCAATTGGATTTGAGTATAGGCAATTGTGCAAACAACTATATGTGAATATAGTCACCCTGTACCTGCTGTGGATAGATTAATTCAGGTAGATTTGGTTGAAATAATATATAGCCTCTTGGTGTAATCCGCACCCAAATTCAAATTTTTGCAACAGTAATGGGGTGCTTGTGCTCGGACCCCAGCCCTAGGCCTATATCTCTCCCCAGCCTAAAGACCCTGTCTCGGCAATAACTCATGAGTGGGCCCAGTGAGGCAAACTATCTCTCCCTGTTACAAGAACAAGCTGACCTCTGTAGAATTTCCCTTGTGTGAACAGGACTATCTTGTACCAGCAGAATTATCATGCACTGATTCCACAGTTACTGTGTGTGATCCAGAGGTCAATTCCCAAGGCTATCTTGTTACAGATTTAGACGTACAGATGTACAGACCCCTTAGAGGCACCCTCCCCCCTTCCCAGGCCATGCCAGTTATGAATGATGCCTGTGCCCAAGGTACAAAAACTGCATGTTCACCACCTGATTAGCATACTTACCACACAATTCACTGTGCTTTTTCTATATAAGCTTTAGTATCACTCCTGTTAGATTGCAAGTTCCCTAAGGGAAAAGATAGCAAATAGCATGCTTCAATCTGCATTCAAGCTCCATAGTTCTTTCTTTGGATGTGGATAGCTTTTTCCATCAGGAGACTTTTGGAGATGTCTTAGATCCTTGCATTGCTGAGAAGGGCTAAGTCTATCAAAGTTAGTCATCACACAACATAGCTGTTACTGTGTACAACGTTCTCCTGGTTCTGCTCACTTCACTCAGCATCAGTCCATACAAATCTTTCCAGGTTTTTCTGAAGTCTGCCTGCTCATCATTTCTTATAGCACAATAGTATTCCATTACTTTCATATACCACAATTTGTTCAACCATTCCCCAATTGATGGGCATCCTCT